TGACTAATATAAATTGAAATATCAGTGTGATCCACTAATCTGATGATTTTTATTTTTTTTATTTTTATTTTTATTTATTTTTTTATTTTTTATTTTTTATAATTTTTTTTTCAACATTTATTTATTTTTGGGACAGAGAGAGACAGAGCATGAACGGGGGAGGGGCAGAGAGAGAGGGAGACACAGAATCGGAAACAGGCTCCAGGCTCTGAGCCATCAGCCCAGAGCCTGACGCGGGGCTGGAACTCACGGACCGCGAGATCGTGACCTGGCTGAAGTCGGACGCTTAACCGACTGCGCCACCCAGGCGCCCCTAATCTGATGATTTTTAAACTTAATTTCTTTTGCTCTTTAGTATTCCCTCTGATACCCTGCAGTAGACACCTTTCAAGTTGTGTGAACTATTTTAAATATTTTTGCATCATACATGAGACGAGAAGAACAGTATTATTCCAAACTTAAAAACAGAGAAACAAAAGACAGTACGAAATACAAGCTCCATTTCTGATTAGTAAGGAAAAGACACCTTATGTTACTTAATGTTTAAAATCAGAACCATTCAGAAAAGATGACAAAATTGTTCATTCGTTTCAGGTACTAAAACCCTCATGGTGACTTTAACATCATCTCAGCATATTTATTCAGCCACTTGACAGAAATCAATCATCAGCTCCCAGCTTATGGCAAACACATGAATTTTTGTAAATAACACCAGACAAGGCTATTCTTGGTGAATGTATTATAGCTCTAAGTTAAGGGCAGGGTCTGGTAAAGAGAAAGATCTTTAAAAGAGCCACATTACGGTGAAAGCGGGTGACATATATAGCAGAAAAACAGGACAACTATGACTTTTTGCATAAAATACACCTTTTGCATTATTTAGATACTGCAATATCCCATTAACAGGAAACATGGGCGGTGAGGCAGCAAAGAAGCAAATGAGAGTTTACAGAGAAACATCCTTCTCTTTGGAGTCAAGTAAATCAATTGGGCGCCCAGAATGATCACAACTCAGGTCCTCTTAGACTGCTCTTTTCCTGGCTATCTACAAAAGTCCCAACACCTTTAAATTTGAACATTACGGTGTCAGTTCTTATGGAAGGTTCCCTACTCTTACGTTTCTAGAAGAAGAGGGGAATGTAGGGTAGCATTCATTTCTCTACCACAAGGCACCGCTCTCTTAATAATTCAGAATTTCACTGTCTGGGGGGGGGGGGGGGAAACGGATACCTCCTCCTAGTGAACGGAATCCTGCCCCAGCTTTGGACTGATAGAGTCTATACATCATCACACTTGATGAGCAGGATTCAAAATCTAGTATTGCTTCAGCTAAGGCAATTAGGAAGATAGTTTTTAAGTGACGTTACTCTGTCAAGATTTCCAGGTCTCCCTAAGAGCGCTTGGAAAATTGCTATCACATAAATGTGGCAGGAGCAACTACGGAAAAAGTAAATGCCATAAAAAGGGATTATTCTAAAAATTACCTCACCTGTCGATTTCCTAGGAGAGACACACAGTGAGAGGAAAGCTAAGGGAAGGTCACAGGCCGATTTACATGCAAGGACTTAAAAATTAGAGCAAGTCATCAACAACCCAGTTCTTATTCATTAAAATCATTTCATTTAGGAAATCTCTAAGAGGCGGAGGGAACGTCTGAGCCCATGAAAGATGAATTTTTGTCATGTTGGCCCTAGAGGGGAGCGGGGTCAGAGAAGTAAAGTGATTATAAAACAGTCAACATTTTTCCACCCCATCCTTGAGGAGAGCGCAAGTTATTGCCTAGAATTTTCTTCTATTGCATTATACACCAGGGTGTGTGTGGGTGTGGGTGTGTGGGTGTGGGTGTGTGGGTGTGGGTGTGTGTCCATCCTTGAAAACCACTATGTTGCTTCCCCAGAATAAATTCCCAGTGGGCTCAGGGGTGATTTCTTGTTCATGCGTGACCGTATTTGCTAAATGATTCATTTCCAAGGCTTCTTTATATCCCTGATTCCTCACGAAGCAACCACCCTTCCAGCATCTATCGTGACTCATTACTTCTATATTCTTGACAATGAATCTCGCCTTCTTTCCCGCCTTTTTTTTCATCTGTAAACTGGGGATGACAATCTACATTTATTTATATGTTGGAGTCAAAAGAAATAAACAGATGAAAATACCCAGTTAAAACATACACATATGTCATTTTAAAAAGGACAACACACACTGTGTAAAAACAAGAAAAATAGGAGGGCACAAGTGATGAGAGCATCACGGGGGATCCAATGTCCTGTTTTCTCACTCCTGATATTTCCTGTATAAGTTTTGAAATCTTGACTTCACCTAGCAATTTCGAACTGGGGAAAAAAGAAGACCTTCGATAACACACGAGACACCTAAGTGAAATACAATGTAGATTCAAGAGACTGCAGAGAAGTCAAGGTAAACTTGATCGTTCGTGACTCCTGTAAAGTACAAGTTCTGTAGCTGTACGGGCCCTTTAACCCAAAACAGTCTCCACAGTTCATCTTCATGGTTTCTCTCATTTCCTTTTGCTCTAATTAATCACAATCCTTCCTAGAATGTTCATTTCTGGCCAGTATGTCTTCCTGAATATGAATAAGACATAAAATACCATTTGATGTTTGAAATTATGGGGGTAATCTCAATGACGGAAATAGATGACTGGTACAGGGAACGGAATGCCTGATTAAATATATTCATGAAGACGTCAAAGGCTTATAAAGCCAACATCTGGGAATGAGAAAGCCGTTGGGCTACCAGATCTTCTCTGGCGAAGTGTGTTTCTCGAAAGCATCACCAACATGGACAACAAGGGGTGGTCGCTGAAAGGTATGTGCAACAGCTCGCCGAGCTGTTGGATTATCAACACTCTTGGGGGTGGCACGAATTCAAAATCTGAGCTAGTATTCTCTTAGCAAGAGGTTTCAGGTTTACAGAGTTTAGAAGGGCTAGTCATTGCTCTAGAGAGCAACTGTAGCAGGGGCAATGGAACAGAATGCTGGTTCTCAACTGGAAATCCTCCTTCTTCTGGAGACATGTGGCTAAAGTCTGGAGAGGTTTTGGGTTGTCTTAATTTGGAATGGGGGTGCTACTGGTATCTAGTGAGTAAATCTCAGAGACACTGCTAAATGTACCGCGATGCACCAGACAGCCCCCAGAACGAGGAACCATCCATCTTAAAACGCCAATAATACCAATGTTGAGAAACTCTGGCCTGGAACAAGACCAGAAATGTCTACGGGTCCAGTTTATCACAACTTCAGGAGGTAGAAACCAGCATTTTTTGGTTCTCAGGCCTCTTATGCGGTTTGGCCGACCTAAGTCAGCCTGATGCAACTTTCAACTCAGAAACCATAATATGGACAAGGATAGAATTGTGTCTTATGATACTGTTAACTGGGTTTGGGCCAAATGACATTTCAAAAAGAGAAACAGCCTGGCAATAATTAACCGTCTTTACTTTCTTGGTTGACAGTTGCAAGAAAAAGAAAATTAGGAACAACCATAAAACTCATTTTATGAAATGAAGAACAAAAACATTTATCTATTTTATCTCCTCTTGGACTGTGAGAACCCTTCAGATGATAAACGTACAGATACATGCGGTCAGAGTTAAATAGTATCTATGAAGTTATGAATTTCCGAGAACTGTTATTCCAATTTCTCTATCTGCAGAGCACTTTTTATTTACACCTGTAGATAAAAATATCCATTCAGCTAAGTTACAGGACTATCAAGTACCTAAAATAAACTTTTTGGAAATTCCACGGTTTTTTGAAAAATTAAAAGTCTGTTATATGAGTCACTTGACAACACTTGTATCTTTTATTTTGCAGCTAAAAGGTGGTGCATTACATTCTCTGTTAACAAACAATGTTAGCGCGCATTAAAGTCAAAGTACTGTTCTTTCCAAGTAACGGAAAGACCGTTGCAAGCCCTGAGCCATCGCGGCCGAGGCTCTGGCCAGTTGCAGGGATGAAGCCTGAGAGCCCGCAGGTGTGTGCGATGCCACGTGGCAAAGTCAAAGGGATCATACTGGCATCCAGCCCCCTCCACCTGCTAATGATAGGACTTGAGGAAAATCACTTAACCTCTCGAAGCCTCTGCTTCATCAATGTAATTTGATGATAATAATGAAGGTCGAAGCTCTTACAAGGTTACTGGGAAACACAAATTAAAAAAAAAAATTCAAAGCTTTTGGCAAAGTGTCAAGCAAGTGCACGGGGGTTATTAAGGTGAGTTAGCAGATCGAGGCCACCGTATCGCTTCGTGTTAGGTTCTCTTCGTACTCGATACTAGCAGTTGTCCATCGTGTTTAGCCTCATCAGTCACGAAAGCGAAACAAACAGATCCACTGTGCTGGGTGTGCTATTTCAGGGTCTAAGATTCAGGTATTAGTCAACACGGAGTTAAAAAATGACAACCTTGGGGCGCCTGGGTGGCGCAGTCGGTTAAGCGTCCGACTTCAGCCAGGTCACGATCTCTCGGTCCGTGAGTTCGAGCCCCGCGTCGGGCTCTGGGCTGATGGCTCAGAGCCTGGAGCCTGTTTCCAATTCTGTGTCTCCCTCTCTCTCTGCCCCTCCCCTGTTCATGCTCTGTCTCTCTCTGTCCCAAAAATAAATAAACGTTGAAAAAAAAAATTAAAAAAAAAAAAAATGACAACCTTGGGGCGCCTGGGTGGCTCAGTCGGTTGAGCGTCCGACTTCGGCTCAGGTCATGATCTCACAGTCTGTGGGTTCAAGCCCCACTTCAGGCTCTGTGCTGAAGGCTCAGAGCCTGGAGCCTGCTTCCGATCCTGTGTCTCCCTCTCTCTGCCCCTCCCCCGCTCTCACTTTGTCTCACTCTGTCTCTCAAAAATAAATACATGTAAAAAAAAAAAAAAAATGACAACCTCACAGACAGCCCGACTACCAAAAATCTGCAGAAACCCCCAAGACGTTGAACTAACTTCTAGGAATGACTTAAACACCCCGGCTCAGAGTTCATTTCAGCTCCCAATGTTTGCCGAGTACAGAAGCACTCCCGGGAGCAACAGAAAGATGCAGGGAGTAACCCGCTTCTCAAACTATGTTATCTGTGCAAATATAATTATAGACCCTGAGTCACACGGTGGAAGGTGTGGGTTCTTCCCGGCCCCAGCTGTTACAGAACCCGAAGGTGCCAAGGGCGACGGGGAGAGGGAAGGCTTCTGGGACGAGGTTGCCGGTGATGGCCTCAGGCGCACAGGTCACCTCAGAGCGGTGTGTGGTTTTGTGTAAGCAGGGTCACTCCTGTTCCTGCTGCTGCTGCTGTCAGACCTGCTCCTGTGCAAGAGCGTGGCCTCCCTGCCCATCTGTCCCAGCGGGGCGGTCAACTGCCAGGTGTCCCTGCGGGACCTGTTCGACCGCGCGGTCATCCTGTCTCACTACATCCACAACCTGTCCTCGGAAATGTTCAACGAGTTTGTAAGTACTGCCTCTTCCCAGAAGGAGCCTTCCCGGGAAGGCAGGGGCTGTCCTACGCTTGACACAAGAAAGGTGCGGGGAGCCTGGGTGGCTCAGTCGGTTAAGCGGCCGACTTCGGCTCAGGTCATGATCTCGCGGTCCGTGAGTTTGAGCCCCGCGTCAGGCTCTGTGCTGACAGCTCAGAGCCTGGAGCCTGTTTCAGATTCTGTGTCTCCCTGTCTCTCTGACCCTCTCCTGTTCATGCTCTGTCTCTCTCTTTCTCAAAAATAAATAAATGATAAAAAAAAATTTAAAAAAAAAAAAAAAAAGAAAGAAAGGTGCAGGAGCCTGATCAAACCACACACATTTTAGATTAAAAAAAAAAAAAAAAAAGCCACTGGTTAGCAAAATGTGCAACAAGAAGAAGGGGACAGTTTCATGAAACCTCAAGAATTCTTAGAGTACAGTAACTCTTTTAAGATTTCCTTTAGGGGTGGCTGGTGGCTCAGTCGGTTAAGCGTCTGACTCTTGATTTTGGCTCAGGTCAGGATCTCATGCTTCATGGGATGGAGCCCCATGTCTGGCTCTGTGCTGACAGTGCAGAGCCTGCTTGGGATTCGCTCTCCCCCCCCCCCACCCACCCACCCAAAGAAACATTTAAAAGTAAATAAAAAAATAAAAATTTCCTTTAATTCTCCTTCTTGAGAGAAACTTCCTAAAAAATTTCAGCACCTGTATTAGCCAGCTTAGGCTGCCATTGCAGGGTTCCATAGGTTGGTGCCTTAAGCCACAGAAATGTATTTTCTGACAGTTCTGGAGGCTGGAAGTCTGAGATCAGGACACCAGCACAGTCAGGTTCTGAGAAGTGCACACATCTTCCCAGCTTGCCTCTTTCCTGTCCTCATGGTGGCAGAGGGTGCAGGTGGGGGATTCTCCTGGGGTCTCTTCTTGATCCCTATTGGATCAGGACTCCACTGTTATGAGTTCATTTAACCTTCCTTACCTCCATATCTTCAAATATAGTACTTCGGGGGTCAGGACTTCAACTGAATTTTGGGGGGGAACATCCCTTCATAACAACACCTGGCAAAAAGCACTTTCAGGTGGAGTTTGAGAAAATGAAAGCATGCTGATTTCTTGTCCTTGACTGTGGGGTACAGGTCTCCCTAGGCATTCTTCACCTATCATACTAGATATCTAATAAATGACAGTCTCATTGCCCAGAACAGAGTTAACTGAACAAAGTTAAACTAAGCTGAATCCATATCAGGAAAACAATGATAGCTCTTCTGAAACCCCAAAATGCTATAGAGTGTTATTTTGAGATGCCCAGTGTATAGGTTTAGAACTAGAATAGAAGGGTTGATTTAGAATCAGAAACAATTATTCTCTTTCTTATTACAGTACTTTGAAAGTTGTATCTTAACTCTTTTAGGTCAATCAAGGAGCAGACAGTATACATATGAGAGGTTCAGTAAATCAAAGCGTCGCCATAAAGAATGAGGATCAATGTTTGTATGTATGTATACTATATATATATATATATATATATGTATATATATATATATATAGTATATATACATGGACACTATATATATATAGTATATATATATAGTATATATACATGGACACTATATATATATATACATTGTATATATATGTATATATACATACACATACACATAGTTCTCTTCACTCACTGGTTTTTCTTTCCTCCTCCACTTTTGACTGGCTATCTTTTGTCTTTCACATCTTCACAGTTATCTCCTTAATTTTCACAACTTTTCGTAGAGATTACTTTTATGTCGATGTCTTAGCTAGGTGTGTGTGCATGTGTGTGTTTTTTATTCTGAGTCCATTGATTAATATTTCCTAAAATTTTATGCCCTGTTTTTTTGACTTACCATTTGGTCGCAATCAACAAAATGGTATTATGCATCTATGATGAACATGGTGAGGCATAGTTGTGGGGGTTCAAATACAGCAAAACCTCGGTTTGCAAGCATAATTTATTCCGGAGACATGCTTGTAATCCAAAGCACTCGTATATCAAAGCGAATTTCAAGAACCATTGGCTTGGTTGTGATCACATGACATCCAGTGATCCAATATGTACGACTCATATTGCAAGACATCGCTCATGTATCAAGTTAAAATTCATTAGAAATGTTTGCTCATCTTGCAGAACATCTGCAGAACAAGTTACTCTAAATCCAAGGTTTTACTGTATCAGGCAAAGAAAAGTTGTAATTTGATAATAATGCCTATTAGGGGGTGCATATTGGCTTGGACCCCTGGTAAATAAGATACTAAATGGCAAAAATAGGTATATATGCACTAGAACAGTGGCTCAAATACTAAAGAAAAAGGAAACTTAACAAAATATTTAATGCTTCATATTTTTGGTATTTTTTAGTGTTTGTTTTCCAAGTAGTAATTTGTGGAAAGGGTAAATTAAACAAGTAAATCACAAAGAAGGAGAGAAGGTGGGACTAGAAGAGTTACACTTAAAAAAAAATGCACGTCCAAAATAAATAAAACACAGAGAAAGGGTGACTTTCTCAATGCTCTGGTTTCAGTTTTCCATGTAGTTCTCATTTAAAATAAAAGATTATACATCAAGTGTGTTAATATTCTGGTAATGGGCTCATTTAACGGATGCTCAAACACCTATAACTAATTGCATTTGCTTGCTTGCTTTCAGGATAAAAGGTATGCCCAGGGCCGGGGGTTCATTACCAAGGCCATCAACAGCTGTCACACTTCCTCCCTCCCTACCCCTGAGGACAAGGAGCAAGCCCAACAGATCCATGTGAGTCTTTTATCCGCGTTTCTCACCAATACCACTGAGGCAGTGCACTGGTAATACCATGCTACACGTTCTTAGAAGTGCCACAGTAGGTAATGCTAATTGCACACACAGACAAATATGGAGGAAAAGCAATCAAAGAGAAAAGACAGTATGTCATTGAAGAATCAGTGGTGAAACCCAAATGCTGGCTCAAGATTGTAGCAGTAGGTGCCTGGGTGGCTCAGTTGGTGAAGCTTCTGACTCTTGATTTTGGCTCAAGTCAAAATCTTAGGGATCATGAGTTATATATACATACACATACACATACACATGCTGACAGCATGGAGTCCACCATGGAGTCCAAGTTTAAATAAACTTAAAAAAAAAAAAAAGATTGTAGCAGCAAAATAAAAAATCTGTAAGTTGTTGATGCAAACACCATTATTTTAACCGATGCCTTAGACCCAGGGTTGCATGTATTATATTGTATGAAAGCCTGCACTAAATTGGACTTCCATGCATAAAACAGAAGGTTTGCAAAATCATGGGTATGTAAGAGATGCAAGTGCAGTTGTATTTTTTACACGATACCCTTGGCTCCTACACTGGCAGCATTTAACAACACTGAGCACTGTCCCAGGTGAGCCATGTCTTGCTGATTTTCAAAGCTCTCCTTCTGAGTCTGCTTCTGCTTCCCTGACCCCTACTTCCCTCTCCATTCTCCCCTGACTCCTCTGTCCTGTAATGTCATGTATTGTTTCTCACGGCTCCAAAAATCGCCTCTGTTCTGATGACAACAAAGTCTGCATACGAAGCCCCAGTCATTCATCCCAACTCTTTGACCACTGTCATCTCTCCTTTCTGATTCTCTGCCGCGGTCACAGTCTTAACGTGACTTCAAATAAGCATCTATCTTCACACACATACCCCCGTTAATACAATCTGATTCTCTTCACAGCTTTGTTAATGGTACCAGCATTCTTTCTGTCCTCTAAGCTCAGTAATAGTGGTGGTGGTGGTGGTGGTGATAAAATGAAGGACGAGGTACCTGGGTGGGTCAGTCAGTCAAGCGACCGACTCTTGATTTCCGCTCAGGTCATGAGATCGAGCCCCTCCCTGTGACAGCACTGCTCTCAGCAAGGAGCCTGCTTGGAATCTTCTCTCTCCCTCTCTCTCTGCCCCTCCCACGTTTGCACTCTATTGACAAATAAACTTTCAAAAAGAACTTTAAAATGAAGGAAAGGGTGAAGGAGAAGGAGGAGGGGTTAAAATCTATTGAGGGCCACTCCACTGCCGGGCACTTCACAGAGCAATTTACATGCACTGTATTTAATCCTCACCAAAAACAATCCCAGAACACAGGGCACCGTGAGGACACTTGCCAAGGTAAGGAAACGGAGGCTCTGAGAGGTTGCAGAATTTGGACTAACGACAGGAGTTGTGAGTCCGGGCACCATCCGATTCTAAGCCCTCACTCTTACTCATGATGCTACAACAGCCTTAGCAAAACCAGACGGCCATTCCCTGTGCGGCCTGGCCCTCCATTTTGTATCTGAGGACATGTTCCCATTGCACTGTCACTTGGATTCTTCTCTACTCCTCACTTCCTTTACACTAGCTTAGTTCGCGGACCTCAGGGAAGCAAGTATTTTCTATCAGAGACGACCCTCTCCTAAGGCTCTCCTGTGGGATCCACAGGGGGCAACCGTCCCTTGACTTCCGTTGCAGACTACAGCTGGCATACGCCCTGTTATTCACCTGAGCGGGTCAACAGAAGAGACTGTTCTGGTAGCAGTAGAGGGACAGGGGTTGGTCTAGATTGAGGACAGCGTATGCACGAATGCCCTGTCTTCTTTGCTCTTTGTTGTAATATCATGGAGCAAAAATTACAAATCACAAACGAATACATTAAAGAACGACTTGAGTCATTCGTATGAATGAGTCGCTGGATGAAAAGGACTTGGGCCCTCTGTCATGGACACTGGTGGAATCCGTCTTTCCTGAGTCAGGTACTGCAGGTGCGTACCGAGTTCCAGCAAACCTCTTTTGGGACCAGCAAAGCTGTCAAACATAAAAGAACTCACTGAGTGGGCGGATGGTAGAATTTCCGAGGGAAAACAAAATCCTTCATGCTATAAACTAGAAGCCTCATTAGATGAAGCAGTTATTCAAATCAGCCAGATTGTTTTCTAATTTTAACAAAGTTTAAGCCAATAGCTTCAGCTTTTTATGTTTACAACTTGAAGCACCTACAAAATATTTTCCGCGCACACACGAAGGACAAAGAGATAATTCGGGGCAGCCTCTGGGAGCAGAAATCACAAGCTAACCAAACCCACTGTGTTATGATTTATTTAATGCGATTGTTTCATGTGGTCGCTTAGCACGAAGACCTTCTGAACGTGATACTCAGAGTGTTGCGGTCCTGGAATGACCCCCTGTATCACCTCGTCACGGAAGTGCGAGGACTGCACGAAGCCCCCGATGCTATTCTGTCCAGAGCCATTGAGATCGAGGAGCAAAACAGGAGGCTTCTAGAGGGCATGGAGAAGATAGTGCACCAGGTGAGAAGCCTCCCGGAGCTTCCTTGTTTTTCTCACTAATGAAAGAGGTGACCTCCATGGTGGGAAGTGAGTTCTGAATACCTCACTGGGCAAGACCAAAGCTGAGGCACTTTCTATCTTAGACGACTATGAAATAAAGCAAGACTCTAGTAATTCATGCTGGCAGATTCTATTGTTAGTGAACCTTAGGATGCTACCGTGATGTCTGACAGGTGAAGCGTTCCCCGCGCCCGCCCCCCCCCCAAACAACACAGGAATCCACCAAAGGCTTTCCTCGTCCTGGGCACCAGGGTTTACAATATGTCCCAGGAGAAGAAACCTATAGAGAACAGAATCTGCAAGGTAAACATGTTCCTCAAAGTATCCCAGGACACCTGCTACTGAAATTCTGGTTGGGTTCTTTCTCTTTTCTCCCCACCCCAAAGGAGGACAAAGGGAAGGGAGAAAAGAGAAAATCAAAATCAGATTAGACGGTGTTTCGTGCCACTACCCCAGCCCCACCCCGCTGCACATATTTGTCACAGAGAGGAGACTGAAAAGATGGGGTCAGGGCATCAATGCTGCCTCACGAGTACTAGATTTCTGTGGGTCACAAAAGACAGGAGTGTTTCTTTTCTGGCATTTTCTTTGTTTTGTAACTTGCAGAAAGTTGTCTCTTCCTAAATTGGGGTGTGGGGTGGGGGAGGGGCTTCAAAATCAGAGCCCATTGGGGGCCCCAAAATTAAAACTCATGCATTTCATCTCCTCTACTAATGTCAAATTTACATGGAGTTAGTATTTGCAATATAGATCTCCAATCAGACGGGATGTTTTCAACACGAATGAGTTAACATCCGAACAGCTTTATGAAGTTCTCAGACAGTGTCATCTAAAGAAAAAGACAGCACTTTAAGAATAACAGGAGCGATTTTCTACATCCCTTGTTTTCTACAAAGTACACGTCATCATGTGTCCTTCTTGTCAGTTTCCAGGGAGAAGCCTACAGCACATTTCCACCTTGAGACATGAAATAAACACCTGGGTTTTCAAATTATTTGCTTCATTACTTTCTGAAGTCACTACACTGTTCTAGAACACTTCAGTTTAATGACTTATTTATTCTTAGGCATATCATTGTCCCCTGCATGGTGGATTTCGTCTTAGAGCCCAAGCACCAAAATTAAACCTAAGACGCAAGGCAACACAAACATACACTACACGCTGCACACACACTTTAAATTCCAGGAGAGAATCCCAGCTTGAAAATAGTCTTACTCTGCAGGTGACAGTTCAGCAGATCAGGGTCTATGGTTATCCTGCATTTGTACCCAGCAGCTCTCAAGCTTGCCTGGTGGCCAAGCAGGCAACTCGGTCTCCGGGTCCTTGGGGGCATTCTCGGCTTGCAGCGGCCCGGGGAGCAGGCACCATGGAGCCCCACCCTGACGTCCCTCCATGTCTTTTTGTTATCACTGTCAGGCTCCCCAACCTACCACTGACCCCTGCCCTCGAAGGGCATGCTGCTGGCACCCTCACTCTTTCTCACGGGCACCTTCCACAGCATGTCCCTCCCCAAGAGACCTCAAAAGCAAACGGCTACTACTTATAGACATTTGGGGGTTATCGGTCCCGGGTGGACTGTGACTGTCTCCTATTTCAGCAGATCCTCTTAGGGACAGTCAGCACTAGATGCCCTGCACCTTAAGGCATCAGGCGCCATCCCTATCATTTCTGAGGTCTGTCGTCCATACGCTACACGGAGAAGAGAATCGGTGTGAAGCGGGAAATAGGTAAATGTAATTATGAGGACGTATCAGAAGAAATCTGGAACAAAGAACACACGAGAGACGAGGTTCAGGACACGAAAGATATCCTCAAGGAAGAAATCTGAAGCCACCCCTCCACTGTCCCTCGGTCACACTCATATATACGTAGGGTGCAACTCCATTGAGACTAAATCTCTCTCAATATACACCAGCTTTGTGGTTCTCTCTCTCTTTACTCCTGGGCAGAAATGCTTCTTCTGTGATCACATCCATGTTAGAAAACCTACATCTGAATTCTGCTTCTACTGCTCGGACTATTAACAGATCTCTGATACACCAGCTCAGTAATCTACGCCTCCCTCTAAGAGAGCGTTGACACTCATGCCTCTTCCCCAAATCTTCGTTTGACAACGGGAGGGAACGCAGACAAGCGACTACTAGTAATACTAAGTTGCTATCTTTTTGGTGACTAGGTTCATCCCGGAGTCAGAGAAAACGAGGTCTACTCCGTCTGGTCCGGACTCCCGTCCCTGCAGATGGCTGATGAAGACTCTCGCCTCTTTGCTTTTTATAACCTGCTCCACTGCCTACGCAGGGATTCACATAAGATTGACAGTTATCTCAAGCTTCTGAAGTGCCGAATCGTCTACGACAGCAACTGCTAAGCCTGTATCCGTCCCATCTATTTCTGGAAGGGTCCCTAATGATCCGTCCCGCAGCAAGCTCCTCTTAGTGTTATAGCTTTTTAATGCGCGCATGGGTGTAATGGGTCTCATCTTAAAAAATAAAAACGGACTCCTCCGAGACGTCAAAATCAAAAAAAGCAATTCATCAAAGTGTCTCATTTTCATTTAGTAGAGAATCCAAAGAAGATCCATCACCACCACTGAACAGTTCCTGTTAAAATTTGTCAGAAATAGCAGAAGCTAGCATTAGAAACAAGACCGTTAACGGCTTCCTTGAGGTTCACAGTAAATTATTACAGGTCAAATGACCAGAATCAAAGAATTAGATAATTACGCATCCTGCTGGTCCTGCTACCAGAAAGAGGGAACTCTCAGGACTCTCTGAAAGTCAGCCACACACCATGTTTGAACAGACAATGTAAGCACCATGAAGCTGTGATGTGCCCTCACAGTATGAGGCTTACCGAGCCGTCTAAAACTTGGTAGGCTACCGTATTCGTAGATTTGAGCCGCTATAACAAGACATCACAGACTTACAACCAGCAGAAATATTCTTCTACATCCTGGCCAGGGGAGGCCATGGCAGGGAAGTCACAGACTTCTCCCTGTGTCCCCATGTGGTGGAAGGAGCCAGGGAGCCCTGCGGGGTCTCTTTTAGAAGAGCACTAATACCATTATGAGGACTCCAGCCTCATGACTTAACACCTCCCAGAGGCCCCACTTACTGCTGCTATTTGTTACTTTCCGGGGTTTAGGATTTCAACATCAGAAATTGGGAGGAACACAAACACTCAGATCAGGGCAGATTCCAACATGTCATGGTGTTATCCTTCTCCAGTGGCCGTTCTCAACCATGTAGCACTGAACTCCTCCTGGTGGCGTCATCACGGACGCATCTCATAGGTTTGAGTTATTCTTGGTCTCAAAAGTCCATTCGAGTCCACTTTCAACTCCATTTCACACTCAACCTGTTTAGTGTTTTCCTCCGCCCCTTTGTGGCTCGTGGGACCTACCAGGGGGAAGCAAATGTGTTCAATTTCTGCAAGGTTTCCTCCCCCTCCTGCTTCTGGATCACCATCTCTCTGGGCCACGTTGGAAGGGGATAGAGATGAGGAGAGATGGTCAAGTTCTGACATCACTGGCTTTCACGGTGTCGCTGTAGCCTCCTCATTGCCAACAGGAGCTAACCTTGAATTCCCTCGAGTGGCAGGTGGCTCCCTGTGGGGCACCCTTGTGATTTTCCAGGACCTTCACAAGTGAGGGCACCCTACTGTCTACTGTATTTACCAGGGAAAATACTCGGGCTTGATTCTTTCTCTACCCCCACAGCTGTGCCCCCTGCTGTATCTCCCCAACCTCTCTGCTGCTGTGTCCTCGCCCTGCCAGCACCCTACTGGGGAAAACTGGCTCAGGGTCATCTGTCTCCTTGGGAACCCACAGCAAACTCATGCATCATAACCACTGGAAACAACCAGGAGGCCATAATACTGGTTTGCTTTTTATCCCATCCCGGGGTCTCCTGACAATCTTCTTCTCTTCCTGTCCACAAAGACACAGAGTGGATCGGGAGGTTAGACTCATGAACACACATGAATCTGAGGAAAGAGATGTGGCTTTCCCTTTCTTTTAGAACCGATGAGTAATTATCTCTGTCAGTAATTGTCAGAGAGTTGGCCTTGCAAATACTCCCTGCTAGGCCACTGAATCCTAACACCCTACTCCTTCTACACTTGGTCTCCTGCTGGAGAAAGGGGACTGGATTGGGGGAGCCCAGCTTGTCCAACTGCCACTAAGCAACATGGGATTAGGGCCGATCTCTTCCGGCCGGCCGCAGAAGGCAGTGGGATTGCCAGACTGTTTCTGCAGCAGCATAAGGGCTTTGGCAGGCATTCCTCGACAGCAGACAATAAGAATTACTCCATCCAACATCCTGACAGAGAGGAAATAAAAAGGTAGAGCAGGAAGAGGATGAAGAGGAAAAAGGAGGCGGGGAAAAAAAAGAAGGGGAAACATGAGTAAAAGACTTCGGAGTTGTGAAGGCTGAGATGCTATTAGAATACGGGATTTGGTAAAGACTTCAATCTATTGCTTAAATTTTATACCATAAGAGCAAATATTATCTAACATTTTCCTTATACTCCCCTTTCCTCTTCTCTCTTCCTTTTCTGAAATTTGCCTTTGTATTCAAGTATTCTTTGCCCTTACTCATTAATTTGAAATAGCTCTAGAGAGGAACAAAACTTGGCACATCTTCAGATCAGAACTCAAGTCAATCCTCCTCGTCCTGCAAAGAAATCTTTCCCACATGCACAGGAATGCTGCCCAACAAAACCAAACTCTTGCGTCATGGCCGGCATTATTTTATCTGGGTCCTGCTTCTGACTCTAGCTGTGATGACCCAAACCTTTCAGAACACAACAGAATGCCCCAAACCAATCTTGAACCACCCCTTTCTCCAGCACGCACGCAAAATGTCAGCTTTCTTCTTTTAAAAGGCAGGCAAGTCAGAGAAAAACCTGCATGCGCTTCCTTTCTCAGTCATTTACTGCTGAAAACATCTAATCCTCTTGTGTTACCCACTTAACTTCCTATTCTTCCATTTCTAAATATTTCCAACAGAGAGGATGGTATTTACAAGGGGTGAAGTTTGGTAATAAATGGACAATGAAACTGTATAAAACATAACTTCACCACTAGCCCACAGACATCTTCATGTATGTGTCTCTCACAAAGTTTATTCCCCGCACAAATTCCGAGATACTTGAGATAAATAACTGAGGTGATGATATGAAAAGGTTTCTCGCAGCTTGACCATGACATATGAACCGAACACTGTATTTTTCAGACAAGATTGAGCGGAGCCATGGGTGTTCTGTGGAGTCAGCAAGGGGTAGGCGGAAAGGGGATATTTGGGAAGAACATAACAATCACTCCCCTGCCAACCAGAGTGTGTCTATTTTCTTTTTCTTTTACAGATTTCCACGTAAGATTACATTTGAAGAAACGGGCCCTGCTAGAGGAAGAACGGTAGAGAAACACACAAAAATCCTTGAAATTCACTGATCTCATAGGTTAGTCAATCATGGGCGCTGTAAGAACTAAAAGAGGTTTGGAAAACCTCTATCCCCTAAAAGTTTGCTCTCAAGTTGTAGAGAAAGAGTGGGGGGCATACACATACAAGTTACTGTACCAAATGATAGAGAACAGTCAGCATAGCAGGTGACGCTAACCAAAGCACTACAGTGAATTAAACGATGGCGAGGAGACGTCTGGATGTGAGAACGAGGGAGCTTCTTGGACTGACGGCTTCACCGTGGGGTTGTGAAGGGTTGATGGGATACTGATAGGCACAAAACTAGAAGACGGAATATCTGTTGACTCATTTAAAATCATTTTGTGACCTAACTATCCCCTACCTCTTGAGCTCTTAACACAAAGTGAACTGAGCTGTTAATGTGTAAGGCATTATAAGGTGTCAGTAAATAATCAAATTTGACCCAAGTACAAGAAATGCTCACATTTTTAACAGACATATAATAGCTCTCACTAGTATGCTCTCCTAATACGCTCTCCACATTAACAACGAAAACCACACGGGGATTGCTTACGCATTGCGGAGGATCATGTATGTCAATTTGGAGAGTTTGTACTTACTCTACAAGGCAACAGGAAACCAGGAGATTTTAGTACAAGAGAGCAGTATGTCCGGAATTGGAAAAAGGCAACACGAACCCGGTTTGGAGGGTTGTGGGAGTGTGCGACTGGCAGAGAAAAAGAAGTGGCCGGGAAGCAAGTTGGAAGAGTGTTATGACATCCTACAAGAAAATCAAGGAGGGCTCCGTCAAGCCAAGAGAAGCAAAGCACGTGAGACGTGGAGGCAGAGCATCAGGGCTTGACTGCCTCAAAGAAGCGAGGCAGACATTAAGAGTCAAGAAAGCATCCACGCACTTGGAAGAGTAAATGAAAGATGAGAAAGAGGAGGCAGGAGATCAATGAAGGTTTTGTCCAAGTGCATCTGAACTCAGTTTCCCTGTATCTCATCAACTTTGTACCAGAAACCGTCAAAAATGTTCGGTTACTTTAGCAAATCACAGAAACGAGTACACACAAGAGCCTCGGCTAGACTGTATCCAATGCCAGAACCAACACGTTTATCCGAGCTGGTGAGGACGAGTGCTAAGTCACCGGGCTCTTTCAACACTTACATTAAGACATACACTGTAAAGCACCGTGGATGAGTAGGAATAAAATGAAAACAACTCCTGTCCTCATAGAGCCAGCCCTGCACAAAACCTAAACAAAAGTCATGCCTCCCTCCCCCAAACCTGTCCATCCTCCCTAAGAGCGTCTCACTCTCTCTTGAATCCACTCCTGTCTCCTGTCCCTTCATTGTCTTACTCCCAGCAGACGGTCAGTTAGTCACAAATCAAATAAATGAACACTGTCCACTCCTAAGATAATAGTCATATTTAAAGTCTCTTGAAACTGAAAAGCCTTTAATCCCCTGAAAATATAACTCTAATAGTGAGATGACTGCGCCCTGGGCATCCAGACTTGACTCTGCTACTCAGAAAGCTTCTGCAAGAACCATAACCTGTTTGGACAGCAAAGATAGGAAAGACAAATGGAGCAATGAACAACATTGAGGAAGCAAGGCAGGGACAAATGGGAAAGATAACATAGGTTTTAAAAACAGGTTCACATTTGCATGCCAAGCCAGCAATGACAGGAGCCAGGCGAGCCTCGGTGACGGCTCTCCGTGAATTGGCTACAAGAAATCTTACACAACTCAACTGTTTAAACACAATTCTTCGATTCTAGCACTCAGAGCCACTCGTCTCACTTAATTGCACTCCCAGAAAAGGAATATGCTTATTGCATATTTCCAACTGGCTAAGACAGGAAACTCTAAGAGTTCTCATCGCACACACAAAAATTTCTGTAACCACGTGCGGTGATGACTGTTGACTAGGCTTATTATGGTGATCACAATACATACAGATATCGAATCCTTATGCTCCTTACGCTGTAGCCCTGAAGCTAATGTAATTGTTACATGTCAACTGTACCTCCATAAAAAATAGTAAAAGCAAGCAAATTTATTTAAAGGAATAGACTTCTATTTTGAATAAAGAAATCAACAAATACGGTTTTCTTTTTTAAATATTGTATTGTAGATAGCATATTGGGTCTAAAACTTCATCTCCAGATGTAGTTTATGTTTATGCAGAGAAAAAGAAAAGGGTCCTAACCCTGTAACATTAACTGCAGGACATTTTAGCTACAAAAGCTAATAACGATCACTAAATCCTAAAAGTTGTAGGCCAGTCCAGTTCTCTGCTATTGGTCATTTAATAAACATTTAGTGAATTCCCACTTTACCCAGGCACTGCTTGTAGGTGTCCAGTTTACATCACTGAGCAAAGCAGGCAGACAGTTTCCCTCATGGAACAGACAGTGTCTCTTAGGGAAGACAGACTACCCACAATAGACATGAATACGATTACACCATAGTATGATAGCAGGTGACCCATGCTATACCAAAAGAAAGAGTATAAAGCAAGGTAAGGAATTTCGGAAGTACAGCTGGAGAAAAGAGAAGTAAATTTTAAAAACAGGTGAGGGGCGCCTGGGTTGCTCAGTCGGTTGGGTGTCTGACTTCGGCTCAGGTCATGATCTTAGAGCTCACGAGTTCAAGGCCTGCCTCAGGCTCTGTGCTGTCAGCTCAGAGCCTGGAGGCTGCTTCCGATTCTGTGTCCCCCTCTCTCTGCCCCTCCCCTGCTCACATGCTGTCTCTCTCAAAAATGAATAAACATTAAAAAAAATCAAAAATAAATAGGGGCGCCTGGGTGGTG